TAAAGGAGAAATTCTTATTAGGTAAACGCATATGTTATATGTAAGTTTGTTTTTTCCTTGAGTCTCACGTTTATTATCTGATCGATTTATTGGCTTAGAAAATTTTAAAAAATGCTTTTTTATAATTGACTGATTTTCACTTGAATCGCCTATATTTCTATTAAATTCATGTATCTTCCATCCCATTTCGATGCCCTGATCGATGAAATGCATACTTATTGCGGTTTTGACGGTTTGCACCCATACCGCCCTTGTCATAACCCGGTGAAGGTCCACACTATGATACTTTACCTGCTATTCAGTTGATTTTTTTCTACTTTTCTCTCTTTAAGCTATTAATGGTCACATGGTGAGAACATGCTTAATGCAATTTACTACTCAACGGCTACTGTCAGCACGAGCTATACGTTCTGTATTCGCTGGTGTATTAATCTTCGGTGGTCATGTCTCCATGTACTAGACTGTCATCCCTGTTGCTTCCATCTAAAGGTCCGATGGTGCCCTTAGCACGGGCCAGGCATATATGCCGATGCTTTTTTCTAGGGTCGTGTCCGCACTCAAGTTGTGTCATAAAAGGTTAGCGAACAAACCCTGGCGCAGAAAACGATTTCCTTTGCTGAACGCAGTGAGCATTCCCTGAGAGGTTCGTATACAAGGGTCTGGCCGGTTACAAGACGATGGTAGAGACACCGTGCATGGGGCGGTCAATGTGATGTTACCGTGCGGAACCCTCCTACAAGTAAGTGTGCGGCAACCTTCGTACGATTTTAATGCCCTCTTCGCTGTTCCTTTGGGGTTTCGAAGCCTCATCAATTACCACTCTTATTTTTGACTGCTAGTATTTTCTCTTGATATTCACGCACTGTTACTTCAATTGTGTTGCCAAATGCTGTATCCTTTGTCTTGTTATATTTGATGTTGTTTTACTCTGGAACAAGTTTTTGAAGGGAGACCAAAAGTGGATTTCCCCGTCATTCCTGCACATCGAATAGTTTTAATACCCGTGGTAGCTACATGCAGTCGAAACCAGTTCTCAGCGACTTTTGCAATGAGAACGGTGTGACGTGTTGTCCTATCTCAGAGACGTGGTTTCGTCTTGTCCATAGGGAAGAGGGGAACTCCCCTGAGGAGCTTGACTCTTGGCTTAAAGCTGTTCAAGAGGAGCTGCATAGATGCTTGGACTCTGTGAGCGGCACTGGCTTCGCTGCTTCGAACGTCTCTCGACCTGTCATGGTGGATGCCATCGCGCGACTCGCGTGCTCGGCGGTGCTGGGGGAGTACACAGGTTTCCCAGGTCCCATGTGCTCACCTTTTCGGCGTTCGTTCAGTACAATGCTTTGCCGCAGCTTCGAATACACGTTGACTGAAAAGAGCGATGGTATACGCGTGCTGGTTGTGTCGCTTCGTGTGCCCTGTTTCCCACGATGGTTGCTTGAGCAATCAGGGTCATCTGTGGAGGAGAAATGTCACTTGGGCTTCTCGCTACCGACATCCTTGGTGGCCCTCATGTCACTTGAGGAGGCTCGGAGGCAGTTGCTGGAGGCGAAGTGTGAAAGAGTTCGAGTGCGACTAGACGCTGAGTCGTTTGCAATGCGAGTTGATACCGCTGACACATTTGTACTGGAAAACGACGAGGGGCTTATCTATCGTGTAGTGCGGCACATCGAGGCAAGGCATTTTTCCTATGTATTTGACCGCTCCATGAGCTGTGCTCACCTTCTTCTTGAAGAGTATTCACTTCCGTGTGAATACTGTGTGCTAGATGGGGAGTTGATGAAGGTTATCGACGATTCTAGGAGGCCCATCTTGGGTCTGTTTGATTTGTATAGTTACAAGAATCTCGATGAAACTGAGGTACGCCTCAGTGAGGTCACAATGTCGACACGGTATGAAAAGCTAAAATGCCTTGTTAGGGGTATGCACAAGGCTGCACTGTGCCGGCACTCTTTAGAATGGTTCGTCAAGGAGATGTGGTCTGTGAGTAATATAAGGGAGTGCCTAGACCGACTGGAGTGTCGAGGGGAAAGGGATTATGTCTTTCATGGCCCATGTGGACCAACTAAAAACGATGGTATCATCTTTACTCCGAACGTATTTCCGATCGCCGGTGGGGCCAGCCGCACACAGGTCAAGTGGAAATGGCCATCGCTACTGTCAATTGATTGGCTCGTCTCCCCCGTAGAGGCGGCGGACGGTGATAGCCAGCTGTGCGATGTGTGGCTTTTCTTTCGAAAAAAGAACTTTAACTATCGTGTCGATGTTGAGGGACACTGGAAGTCGACGATGCAGCTAAATCTACTGAACCCGCATCGCTACTCCATACCGGTTGGGTCCAAGATCGTTGCGGAGTGTGTCTATGCCGTTGAGAGGAATCTGTGGTCCATTGAACGAATTCGGCATGACCGGCAAGAGGCTAACTCCATCGTGACGGTCATATCGGTTTTTGAGAGCTTGGTGGAAAATGTTCACTTACGTGAGCTGTGTGTACTGATAGGTGTCTCAGACGAGGGTACGCTTCAGCGCGCTGGAGAGCTGGAGCCTTCGGTTGCCACTCCAACCACCGCAGCAAAAAGCGGCGATTCCAAGGCCCATGCCCACCGCGCGCAAAAAGCCCGACTCACCACCAAGCTCACGTTGCGAGCGATCCTGAGCGGGAGTGGGAGCAAGTTGTCGTTGTGCTGGTGCACGAACAGGGGTAACCCGGACTACCAAAAATCCATTCCCTGCGCGCTGTGCGAAGTCCGTGAATGTAGTGGGCTTGGCCTGCCCCGTGAATGTGATGCGACGGATGCGGATACGATTAGCTTGACGAATTTTCTTTATATTCAGCTCGGAAATGCTGGCGGCAGCTATGCGTGGTCCGACTTCATTGTGGATGCTTACTTCGACGGCACTCAAGGACACTGGGTTGTCATCAAGTGCCACCCACACGGCAAGAACTACGCGTGTGCCTTCGACGGGGTTCTTCTTCATCTCTCGTGGCTACTTGCAGAGGGTCGCGGTGATGCGGCGAAACGTGCTATTCCCACAGCATGGTACGAACCCACTGTGCGCCTTCCTTCGATCAAAAACGAGGAGACCCAGCGGACCAACGCACACTACGCTGGGAAGATAGAGCAGCGGCGGTCGGCAGGTGTACAGGAGCGCAGCGGGCTGTTGCGGTTTAATAATTGGATCAAGTCAGCCCTCATCGACATGGCCGTCCAAAGGCTACGGGGCTCATCCGTGGAGGCGCAGCCGCGACGCGACCTGGCTGTTGTGGATGCGTGCTGCGGGCGCGGTGGGGATCTGCTGAAGTGGAAAGCTGTCGAGCCGACCTTTGTTTTCCTGACTGACGCATCAAGAGAATGTGTGGCAGAGGCAGCCGCGCGCTACTCATGCGGGAAGGGACTCAGTGTGAAGTCGAACGCCGCTGAGTATCCCGGCTTCCACGCCTACTTCGACGTGCGCGACGCCTTTGACCGTGATTCGGGGCTTCAGGAGGTGGTTCTCCGTGAGTCGCGCCGGAACAAGCTGTCAGCCTATCACATCTTTTCTTGTCAGTTTTCGCTTCACTACGGGTGCTCCTCCTTGGACCGTGTCGAGGCCTTTATCTCCGTGGTGTCATCTTCCCTGGCGGTGGGGGGACTTTTCATCGGAACAACGGTTTCCGACAAGGCGCTGCTGGAGCGATTTCGTAAGCAAGGCCCGAGCTTTGGTAACAGGCACTATCATGTTAGTTTTCCAGAGGCATCTGTGGCCGCTTTGCGGGAGCACGAAAATGATGAAGCCTTCGTGCAGTATGGCATTTCTTACTTCGCCACTGTGGAGGATGCCGTGTCGAATTTGCCTGAGTACGTGGTGCCGTGGAAGATGCTTTGTGAGGTGTGTTGCAAGTACAATTTGCGCTTAGTATTAGAGAGTGACTTCTCTTCATTTTTTGATGAACACCAGCATACACATGACGGACAGAATCTCATCAAAGTTGCAAAGCGCAGCCGAAACGGTATTAAGGAGCTGGTCCTACCGATGGAAGAGATGGAGGTGGTATCGCTGTACCGCGTCTTTATTTTCGAAAAAGAGAGCAGCAAGGGAGTTGTGTAGTGCTTCGCTCGTGTGGCTTGTGGGTTGTCCCCGCTATTGTCCTTCCCAGTGTATTACCTGAGGAAAGGGGGGAGGGGGGGGGGTGAGTACAAACAGGGCTATAAGCATCGCCCATTAATCGGACCATTAAACCAATATGAAAAATTTGTGGACTGATTAATTTATGTTTGGCTATTGAATTTTACCATATGAGGTTGACTTGTGCCTTTCAACCTGCGTCGGTGTGGTCGTTTGAAATGGGAAGGGTGTTGGTTAGGTTCTTGATTTGATTTTCCCTTCCCTTCTGTTTGGCCCTTTTCCCGACCCGTGCGCGGGCCTTCACGCAAACTAAAATCCATCCAATCCGTGTAAACCAAAGTAGGTAGAGCAACAACAACAAAAGGAGCACGGGCCTATAGGATATTTTCACATTTTTGAAAAACTCTGTTCTACTCAAATCGTGGCGAAATTAATTTCCATTTACAGGTATATAGATATAAAATTATTACGTATTACCGTTAAGTTCAGAAAGGTTGAATCCAAAAATGTTCCCCTCTAATGTCGACGATCTTGCTGCTGCCCTCTTCTATGGGGGCGTGCCTGAGGGGGTTCTCAACGAAAACGCTGGGAAGAGGATGAAAAGATTAAACACGTATCAAACTATTTCTGTGTCCTTAGAAAACTTGTACAATGGATGTACACTTCCAGTAAATCTTACACGCTATGTCTTATGCACAAACTGCGCGGGACGTGGAACGCGGAAAAAAAATAAGTCGATGTTGCGATGCATGCGCTGCGGCGGCGCAGGGTCTAGGATTGAGGTTCAACAGATGGGCATGATGATTCAGCAAGTTGAGGCAACTTGCAATGTCTGCAATGGAACCGGTACGCGCATTGATCCAGCTGCCTGCTGCCGTACTTGCCACGGAAACAAGGTTGTTGAAATAAAGGACTCCATCGTAGTTGAGATTCATCCAGGGACACGTCACGAGGATTACATATATTTACAAAAAATGGGGAATGAGTACCCAGGTTATGCTTCTGCGGGTGACCTCATCATTCAGGTGTCGCAGGAGCCGCATCCATTTTTTGAGCGGTCTCAAAACGACTTGCATATGAAGCGCGAAATCTCACTTGCAGAGGCTTTATGTGGGACCAGGTTTAAAGTTGTTCATTTGGACGGCCGGGAGCTCATAGTTACGCGAAAGCGTGGGGAGATTACCTATCCAGGGGAACAAAAATGTGTGCGTGGTGAGGGCATGCCGATTCGTGATACTAGTAAGTTTGGCGATCTGTATATTGAGTTTATTGTGAACTATCCTGAACATATTGATGATAATCAGATTAGACTCCTCAGTGCGGCTTTTACAGAGCCTGGGCGGCATCCTGTGTGTGAACAAAAAAATGGGGAATCCAACGATGTGGAGGAATACTACGCTTCCCGCGAAGATATAGAGATCCTGAAGAAAGAGATTAGGCTCGATGAAATGAGTGAAGAAGACGATGACGAAGGTGATATTGTGGGTTGTCAGACGCAATGATCACAACACCAGAAGAACTATGTACCCATTATATCGTTGTTTGAGAGTTCTTAGAGGGGTGCTTTATCTTCAATTTCTGTTTTCTTTGTTCTTTGGTTTCTAACCCAATAATCGAGGAAAGCACTCATGTGTCTTTGGCCCAATAAAGTGCATTATGAAGCTATCTGGGAAGGGAGCTTAGTCCTTTCTCCTTTCTTGAATTTTTCATTCCAGCGACAATGGTGGTGAGGCTGCCCACCTTGTTCTGTAGCAAATCGAAAGGTTATTGCTTTTTTGTTGTTTTAATGCCTTTAAAGGATCACTAATACGTACTTTTTTATAATCAGCACCCTTCCAAAGAGTGCTCAGCTTCACCTTTTCTGCTGTCTTTTAATATTCTTATAGACTGATATAATCGTTTCGGATGCTTTGTAGGTTCAACTATTCTTTTTCCGCTTCTTGCTTTTTTCCCACGGCTCCTGAGTGTTTTCTTTTTCTTCTCTTGAAGGAGGTTTGCTCAAAAATTTCTATGTGATACATGGACAATAAGTAAGTAGTTCAAAGCACACACCATATTTGTGTGAGTAACATATATATCTTTAAAGAGTTAGAATCCTTCGGAGATGAACACAGTCACTGTAAGGGACGCTCTGTCCACACATGAGGTCACCCGTTCGCTCCTCCGGCGTCGCTCAACATCTTTAGCGGTGGAAATCGACAAGTCCATCGAATGCGACTATCGTTGCGGACGAGCGAAGGTTTTTTTTTATGACTATCGTGTTCTTGCGGCGAAGCGAACCCGTACTCTTCTCATTGAGCGCATCATGCAGACGAAAGGTGCCCACGGGCGGGATATCATTTTCCTTGTAGTCTTCATGGGAGCCGCAGAGGCGTCTATTGAAACGCTTTCATGGATCAATATAGACTGCGGCTTGCAGCACCGGTGCAGCGTTGTATTCTGCTGGGCTATTGAGGAAGTGGTGCAGTTCTTGGAAACACTTTCCTCGTCATCCTATTCGTTGGTTGCAACTTTAGCGCGGGATACTATGCCAACCAGCAGCTCAGCTCCGCTTCCGTTGCTCATTGAGGCTTTGACACAGTCCCCTCAAATACTTACGAGGACCGATATCGTGCGGGCCTCTAATCGGTGCAAGAGTGTTGCGGATCTCCTCCTGTGCTCGACAGAGACTCTCGTCGACATCCCAGGATTCGGTCCGAAGAAAACCAAGAAAGTATGCGAACTCTTCAACACACCCTTTGTGGCGGGAATGCCGCTTGTAACCGATATAGTTCCAAAACCTCACCTCTCCGAGAGTGTGCAGGCCGATACGAAGATGCCCGACGCCGTCCGACAAGCGCTGGAGCGGATACGAGACATTGAGGATAACGAAGATGAGGGGTTAGAGACGGAGTTCCAAGTGAAGTCATTGAATGGAATCGGTAAATGAAGGGCCGATGCCTGCCACTCCCAAGGTGCAGTCCATATTGCTCAGGATGTTTCACTCAGTAGAAGTCTGTCAATGAGGGACGGGAATGGCGAGACGTGGGAGAGACTTTTACGGGATAGAGTACACACAAAAAAATGGGAATCGTTTGATACGATGGGTAGTGATGGCAAGGGAAGAGCCATCACCGACCGCATGGGCGTAAATGATTTTTTTTTTGTCTCGCCTCTTTCTTATTTGTAAATCAGAAGAATATAAGGAAAGGGTATCTTAAGATTTTCCCATGCACACTTTTATATTTTATTCGTTAACGTTACCTTGATTGTATCACTATATAAAAGAATTATATTTCTAATCCCAGATCATGTGGCGCCAGATCCTCGCTAGAGCAGGGGTCTACGTGAACCCCACCATTCGTCGGCAACACATCGTCGGAAAGAACTGCCAGGGATTGGTCTGCTCAGAAGGCATCGCAGAGGGCGAGGTGATCGCAGCGGTACCTTTCTGGTATTGCACCGCTCCAATCATCTCGCTGGCATCGCCGTGGGGACAACAACTAGGGGCACACCTATCCGATGTTTCTCACCGTGTCGATGGGATCCAAGTCGAATTTAGCAGGGAAAGCTTGCTCACTATTGCGTTGACTGCTCTTTCTATGGAGCCGCCTAGTATTTTGGCGGATTATTTGAACTTTATCTCGAATGAACACGCGACTGAATCTTCCTTGGGAGAGAAGCTTGGAGATGACTTGATGCAGAAGCTTCGGAACATTCAGAAAGTTAACGATGACATTATTAGGGACACTCAAATTGCTTTACGTTCTTGCGGTCTAAATATTGAATTAGGTCGTCTGCGGCGTGCGCACGCACTATGTGAGAGTCGCTGCGTTGATATCCCGTTTAGCGAGGAGGTCTTTGGAGGTCCTGCTCTGGTTCCTTTTCTTGATCTGATTAACCATGGTGAAACCCAAAACATCACCGTTCTGTTAACCTTTTCTGATGATGCCGTGCGGCGCGCGAAGAGGTCCTCCTGTGCAGAGATGATATCGACAAAGACACCTTTCTACGTTATGGTCCTGTCCGCAGGCCCCCTTTCGCCCGATGAGGAGCTCACCTACCCGTATGTCGACCCCGACGAGGAGGCTTTACTGTACAAAAATCCACTTTACTGGGCTCTCCGCTTCCATTTCTTCCCTTCTTCTATGGAGAATAAGAGCGAAGTATTAGATAGAGACAAGGCAAAAATGTGCCAGTAAGTAGGTAAGGGGATAACCCAGTAATCCGATACAACGATACAGAGATCCGAAAAAGGCAATGAGTCGTTACATTTTAGGCTCATGGGTGTACTTATTCTTTACTTCATATGGCTTTGTGATTTTTATCAATTTCAGCAATCCACGTGTGCAAACTCAGTATGTTACAATTTATCCCTCTCCTTCCTTTTATACAGTTGCACATTTCGTTTTGCTGATTTTTTAAGAGGAATACTCAGATAGATATTTTTTCCTTTCTGTGTGCGCGTATTTGCGGTAGGCTATGGAGGAATACGTTAGTATGTTGTATGATGACATTTTTAGCGCTCTATCAAAGGACAAAAAGAAACGTTCATCCCGCAAATCGAGGTCCAAAAAGCAAAGTATTTATAGGGTCTGCCATGGCAATGGGCGTTTCTGGTGTCCTGAGCCCTACAACCTCAAAGACTGGGCTTTCGTTAGGAGGAGGCGTGTGAGCTTCTCAAGCAATGTGCAGGTAATTCTTTTCGACAAGGATAGTTGAATTCCAGTAGAAATGAGAATGCTTATTTCTTTTCAAGGTGAGAGATTTTCTGCTACTCTAGTCTTTCTCTTCGAACATCGAAAGAGCACGAATCCTAATTGTTTGCTCATAACATGCCGTGTGAATATGAAGCAAAAGAGTATATGAATTTTGCAATCTTTGTTGTCTTGATTGAATTTCCTTAACACTCCTTTCTTCACTTTTATTCCACTTTTATTTCTAATTTTTTAAAATACCACAGTGTGAGGAAACTAACCAGGCAAAATGGTCGCTGAAAGCAAAGCATCTAACCCCATGCGCGAGATCATGGTGCGCAAGCTGTGCATCAACATCTGCGTTGGTGAGAGTGGTGATCGTCTCACGCGTGCGGCGAAGGTGCTGGAGCAGCTCTGCGAGCAGGTCCCCGTGCTCTCGCGTGCTCGTCTGACCGTGCGCACCTTCGGCATCCGTCGTAATGAAAAGATCGCCGTGCACTGCACCGTCCGCGGGAAGAAGGCGGAGGAGCTGCTCGAGAAGGGCCTCAAGGTGAAGGAGTTTGAACTGATGAACTACAACTTCTCCGACACCGGCTCCTTTGGGTTTGGCATCAGCGAGCACATCGATCTCGGGATCAAGTACGACCCCTCGACCGGGATTTACGGCATGGACTTCTACGTCGTGCTCGGCCGTCGTGGGGAGCGGGTGGCGCACCGCAAGCGCTGCTGCAGCCGCGTCGGCCACAGCCACCGCCTCACGAAGGAGGACGCGATGAAGTGGTTCGAAAAGGTCCATGACGGTATCATCCTCAAGGGGAAGAAGGTGAAGAAGGTCTCCCACCGACGCCGTCGCTAAGCCTCTTCGGTTACTCGATGCAGATCAATAAAAAAGGCCACGACTGACTCACAAATGTTTTTTAATTGTGATTTTCCTTATTTCATTCCATAAAAAAAAGTGTGCGTATTCGCGTGCGTTCACTTACACATGTAGTTGATCTTCTGAGACTACCGATATGATACTAAGTTATGCTTATAATTCTTCTTACGTCGGTGGATTTCCCCTTCTTTTTTAATTTTTCTTTCTTTCCTTAAAACATGGTCAGGTGCCTTCATCGCAGTTTGTGCGGCACTTTTTACTCCCTATGAACGGGGTAAAGTTCTTGCCGTCCTGGCGTCTAGCTGCCGTGAAATTTTAGCTTTAGAACCTTTGTTTAGCGAATTCGATATTATATGTCATAACCCACAGTAAGTCTAGGCCTGTTTCCATTTTTTTCGCTTGTCTTCATATCCACACACACATACCATCACCAGGTACACAGCTCTTCATTTTTACGGTGAAGCATTAATATGGCGAAGGGTTTGGAATTTAAACTATTCCAAAGTACTACATTTTTATTCTGATTTAACCAGGAAGCTGCCCACACTATTTAGTCACTTGTTAGGAAAGGGCTCACAAAGCGCATTGAAAAGTGTATCCGATCGCTTGACTAATGATGTGTCTTTAATTGAGTACTTACTCTCTGCTAAGCTAATGTCGTATTTAAGACATTTTGTATTTATTTTTCCTTCTTGGACCACAACTAGACCAGTTAGCGTTATTCCACACTTATGGTTAACCAGGCCTGTCTATTTGACTCAATGAATTTGACCTGGATTGGTAACTATCCTCGTTGTTGTAACTGAGGAAAGAAAAATAGATATTTTATATCCTCTTTACTTATTTCATTTTCTGTTCCCATATTGTATACATTCTTTAAAAATGAACATGCATCCTATATTGTATTTCACCCACACAGCTTTCACATGATACATAGAGGGAAACCCATATATAGGTAACGCAAATTTATAGGCACCAACTCATAGCAAAATGACTGCAGACACATTACCTACTTCTATTCCCATATATCTGCAGCGCTTTGAACCCAGTAGCCTCCCAAAGCACCGAGAACGTACCTTAACCGGACGTAGTAATCGTCAAAGGTTCGAAGCGGAGCGCATCCGAGAGCTTGAAAGGCTTTTTATCAAGTCACGCGCTGCCACATCTGATGCGAAAGGCTCACGTCGAGGTCACCCTTTGTCTGTTGGAGAGGTCCTATGCCGCTCCGAGTACGGAACCGTTGGACTCCCGTCCATGGCCGCGCCTCTGCGGTGTAGCATGACGAAGGGAACGACCAAAGTCCCCGACCTGCCCACGCAGAGGCCTTCCCAGGTAGTAATTCCTGGGGAAGCACCGGACGCGAATGGCGGATCGGTCGTCCCGAAGGTCGTGAACAAAGAGGAGCCCATGGTTGGGCCAAAGGATGTAACCGAAAGTCAATCCCCCGGCGGCCTTCCCCAAAGGCAAAGGGAAGAAAGGGGGTCGGCTGTGGGGAGGTTCAACCCCGTCCACCCCGCGGTTGTCACCCTCTTGTCGGACAACAAGCGTGGAAAAGGCCACACGAAGACCGCCGAGAGCTGCCTAATGAGTGCGCTCCAGCCCTTACCCCCTCGGCCTACTTTGAAAGGGGTGATCAACCGCCCCAACTGTGATGGGGGCGCGACAGTGGGGGTGAGTTCGAGTGGGAATAACGCGCTTCGCACGCCCGCCGACGCCGCGACTCGTGGAGGGGGGCAGTTGGAGTATGATGATCCTCTGGTGAACCCGTATTGTCGAAACGCCCTCGTGGCGCGGCACCATCAGCGGGGTCGCCTTCAGCTGAGGGAAGGCGGCGTTTCCTCAACCCCCCTGGGAGAGGCGCCCCTCACGAGCACCACTCTCAAGCTCCAACGAGAGCTTCGCGCGCGTGAGGCGGCGTGGATCGCTTCTTACATGCCTTCACTGCGTCCGTATGACGTCCAGCCCTGCCTTGGCCGCGTTGGGTGCACGGATTACCACCCCACGTTCGACCGCGTACAGGCGGATCCGTCCTCGACGCTTTACGCCGATGCCGATGCGCGCTTCCGGACGATTCAAGAGTATCCCCTCGACACACCTAATTTCTGGCAACTTCAGCAGAGGAAGGAAAGACGGCAGAAGGTGCTGAGACTTCCAGACTCCTAGGATGTTTTATAGGACCGTACAGATCTCCCTAAAAAAAGATCCCCAATAGCTACCGCATTTCGATGAAAAGGGAGGTGTGTGGGAGGGGGGGGGAGAGATTATGTAAATAAAGTTTATCCTTACAGAATAGTTTTGCTTTTTAGGTAGAGTTCTGCTATTCATATAATAGCATTACTACCAGTCTTCATTCTTCAAAATCCGAACATATATATATATATATATATATATATATATAGTAGTACGACCGACCGACCG